TCTTCCGTGTTGGACGACGTGGAACTGGAACTGGAACTGGAACTCCCTCCTTCCTCCTCAGTCTCCTGTGTTGGACGACGTGGAACTGGAACTGGAACTGGAACTGTTCCACCCGCCCGGGGCACACTCTGTTGACACCAACACCCTTTGAGATTTAAACATTAACCAACGCATCCAGGGATTTGTTTACCAACGCTCTGACAGCGGCTGCCTACAGAAAACTAGACAGAGAGGACTGAGGATTTGTTCCAAAAAAGACAGCCGGCGGCCGCAGAATTCACAAAGCACATCAACGCACCTTACGCATCGAAACAGCTGCGCTACAGGGACAAGATGACTTAAGGGGACCCTGAGATGACCAATGATGTGTTTCTTTCTTCGCGTCCGGTTCAGGTCTTCCTTCAAGTCCACCTCTCCGCGCATGCGTCGCGAACGGGCCAAGGAGGTGCGGCCGAGACTCCGTTCGGTGTCACGTCGTGGGGATTGCCAACGGTACTACTTTCCCTATGGCACCACCACCTGGCAAATGGTCTGAAAAAACGGAAAATGGGAGGGACCCCGAGGGGTTCGGGCCTTTTTCGGCCATCCAGTTCCATTTCAGCATATTCTGTAGCATCAGCCAGGACCTGAGCCGTTGGTGACGTCTTAGGAGGTCACGAACTGACGGGTTCGGAGTTCGAAGTATCGACATTGGGCACTCTGAGTCGAACAGATAACGCGGCTGAGCCACGAGATTTTGGGGTTGTTCCGTTTTGTTGGGTTATCAGTTATCAGCTATCGGTGATGACTCCGGTAAACCGGGCTTTCAAGACAGGTCTCCAGTGGGATCCAGTTGGCGTGCATTGTGACGTCAGTAGATCCACCAGAGGTCGAAGGTCCAAGTTTTATGATCCACCAAGAATGCCATGTCGCCAGCTTTCTGGGGGAACCCATGGGAGACCAGTGGGGAAAGACGAACACCGGTGTTTTCCACTCTGAGTCTGCCGACCCGACGTGCAGGTGGATGTGGTCACGTTGGGTGACATCTCAACCCCGGTCACACCGGCGCAGTTGGTGGACGTGGAACGTCGCGACGGACGTGAAACGTCCAGGATCACCGTTTGTGACCTCCCACTGGAGACTCTGTTTGTGACCTTTTATGCGTTTAACAAAAAGGTGACCGAGTTTTCTGGGATCTCTGGTGGACGGTCACGAACTGAAGGTCCTGGTTGGTCGTTTGTGCTTAAGATGATTTCGCACGGGGTGTTCGCTGGTTTCTTCACGATGTTTCGTGGTTCGTTTGGTTGGAGTGTTTGCTGTTTATGTTTAATACTTGCTTTGGTTTGTGGAACGTGTTTTCCAATGTTTTTCGATTGAATTAACCATGAACCCGACAAGCAAGACTCTCCACACGTTGTTCCAAAATACGAAGGCCTTGAAGTCAACAAAAGATACTACTGTAATTAGGGAGTTCCTGCGGAAATTCAGTGTTGGGAACAGCATGCAGCCTGGCAAGACTTACAAGACTATATATACTCTCTCCAGAACTTACGAAGAAGTAGTTTTCCTATAATATTTATCGTTTAGCATTTTACTGGAGGGTCTGCATGTCATATTTTTGTGTTGGGAAAGACTTCTTCCTCGTAAGCTTGACATGCTAAACTTGCTAGACTTGCTCGACTTCCTCGTTTGTCAGTGCAAAAACTAGAATGTCCAGAAGCATCTAGCTTCCTCGCCTACTGGTCACCAACTTCCTCGTAAACATTTACTTCCTCGTAAGTTCTGAGGAGTGTAATATCAAAACATCAGAAGACTGGACGAACACGTGAAGGTTCTACATGAGATCATCCTGCGACTCATCGAAGTGAGTCCGAGATCTCCTGCGACTTCCTGGACGACTCACAGTGAATGAACTGATATGATTTGCATGTTTGTCTTCACCGTGCAACTGAATTCGAAGTGCTTGTTTGCTGGACGAAAGGAACAAACTGTGGTCCAACAAGAAGCTATTTTGTGAACAGCAACAACAAAGCTGTCTACACAAAACCTTGACTGTCAAACCTATAAACCTTTAAGACTTGAATTTATCTCCTGGAGGAACATTTGTCCGCAGCTTGAGGATCGACTTGGGGAATACAACATGTGGCTGATAAATTTGGGTTGAGGATTCACCCGGGTAGCGAGCCCCTTTCAGATGATAGATCAGGGACCTGTGCTGGGTGTGATTTTTGCACACGGCCAGGCACCCGGGGAGTATGAGATCAAGGAGTCAGATGAATTGAGTTTTTGGAACAGAAAGATGCAGACCTGTTTAGTTTTGTGTTATTTGAGATTTGAAGTATATAAGAATGTCTCAACCACTCTAAATGAAAGTTGTGGTTAAACTCGGTTAAACTGTACTTGGTTCCTTTCCGTGCTGATAGATGGGGGGAGGGCATACACATCTTGTCTGTACGTGTGCCAGAAAAGGATGTGTTTGGAACTAGGCCTTCGCAAGTTTGGAACAAGAGGGTGACAACCTGCAGCTTGCAGCTTCAGTAAGTTGAAAGAGCTGGTGGGAGGTGCAGCAGCTGAAAAACAAGACACTGAAGACCAGCAAAGCACCTACAGTGTACAGGCAGACAGCTCAAGGTGCAACAAAGAAACCGGCAATACACAGGCACATGGCTCTGAGACAGACGGTCCAAGAATACAAGACACAGGCAGCACCCAGGCAGACAGCTCCGAGGGTGCATAGATCCCCCTCCACTTGGCCCGAGTTAGTCACTTTGTCAATTCGCTTGTGCTATCTAAGCCCCAGATAATAGCGAACACATTCAAGATCGGGCTTTCTTACTGCATCATGATAGAACAGATTGCTGGGAATGGCGCTTTTCCTATCGAAAGGACAAGCCAGAAAAGAATCCACTCAACACTGAAGTTTGGGGTAAAAGGCTGGAATGCCACAAGTGTATGAATTACCCTCTTGACAGGGTGAGTAGAGAGAAACTTGCAGCCAAGAGAGGCGCAGAACAGAGACGTGCAAAAGCTGCTCCGGCAGTCGATCTGCAAATAGTTTTTGGCTCGAGCGTTGAAAATAGGTAAGCCAGCTCTTGTACTGCAATGGCAGTTGTGTGGGAAAGTACTTTCGAGACACCCCGAAACACATGTCCGAAACAGACCACCAGGTTCAAAACGCATTGCCGCCTACTTTATTTGCGGAAAGTATGTTTCAGGGTCCACTGATCTATGACTGCCGATTTGCACCAGATCTGCCGCGGATTCTCAACCCTGAGGAGCCCAGCTATCGCTCGCCGTACCGGATACCCAGGCGGAGGGCTGAGGAATCGATCCGATTGAAGGAGTTCACGACTTGTCATCCGTTCACACATGAATTCCCAATTGGATGGTGAATAGAGTGGCCGAAGTTGCACAAAAATAAGAACATATAAGGACATGGGTGTAGAACAAATCAAGAGTTCGCCAATTTGCCAAAGACCATGCCCTTAACCCGAAACCTGTTGGAACCCCAAACCATGTCTTTTCGCGAAGTCCCGGACCTTTGGCAGGTCAGAGCACTTGTCATTCGGCTCCGGACAGACCCGTTTCACCGAGAAGCAGGACACCGGGCACGGAGCACGGAGCGGTTTGGTGGGCCGGTGGGGTGAGTGAAAGGGGGGACAACATGTGGAAACTGAAAAGGCCGCAAAAGGCTTTCAAATTTATGAGTCAGTTTACTTTGTGTTAATCCCCCACAGTGCCACAGGAAGTATAAAGACATGAATTGAGTTCCATTAGTTACTTATTATCAAATGGATTCAATTGGAATTATTGTCGCTATTCATTCTCTATATTGTTTTGAACTGGCAGGGTACTTGCAAGTTGTCACGGTGGGTTGTTTCCAAACCATTGAACTTACTGTAATACTAGCACACACTCCGACAATTTGTTTGCATCGTTTTGATTCGTTGGGGTTCCAAAGATGTTTGTCGTTTCGACCATGTTTCGTAGGTCTTTAGTTCCATTTGTTGTAAGTAATATGTCTGACAGTTTCCTTTGTGAGGATGAACCAACAAGGTCGAAAGGAATTGATATTCACTTCGTTAAGGACGAGTCAGTATGCATGAGGACATCCAGGTGGTTTTGTGCCCATGTTTTGTCAGAGAATCGGCTTCTTTGGAGGTTTGTGCAGGCTCGAAAGGAGGCTCGAGGGCCCTCTTCTCAGAGGGTCCTTGTTCGCCATCTCGGAATTCCTCTTTGGAAGAATACAGCTGTGGTTCTTTTTTCGACACTCCAGCCATGGAGAATTTGAAGTTCAAGGTCCAGCAGGTGAAGTATCTTGGAGAGCAAGCAGAATATAGGCCTAGAAGGCTGGAGAATTTGATTTTTGTTTTGTGGCCAGGCACGACAGGCACGAGCCAAGTCGTTCTGGGTTTTCCAGATGCTTTTATACTTGTTCCGTACTTCACTACAGCTTAGCTCCTGGCCACAATTAGTAGGCTCAGGATGCCTCAACATGGCCAATCACACAAAGGACAACCTCCGAATGTATTTTTCTTGGAATCAACCACAAGAGGATCATGGACACTCGTCTATACAGTCTAGAGCCGATCACCTACCTGGATCTCAACATGACACCCGGCACACCTCATCACGGCCGGCACCGTCCGAGGAAGGTCCTCATGGCTGAGAACATGGTCGCCGCGGGCAGCCTGGATCAGCTGGGCTTGTGGATGAACACCCCAGGTACCGCCGACAGCCAAGCTTCACCGGGGCGATGCCATGGCGAAGTTTTCCGGAGAAAGGGAAGTCAAACGAGAGAAGAGGGTATAAGCCCATCCTGTTGCAGGGATTTATATAGAGAAAACCACCATGATTTTGTCAAGTTATACTGTACCAAAGGTATCTGCTGGCGGAACAGATGTGAGTCCCCGAACTGCGGGGTCTATTTTTGACTGAACACTAATTGTGTTTGTTTTGCAATTGTGATCATTTGTGTGCACAGTTGGAAGTGGAAATGGATGGAACTGGCTTTCTTGGAGTGCGTAAAGTATGATTTGTTGTTTCAATTGTCATGTATGCAGTTTGGGATCAGTTTGGGATATCACGTAATCTCACATAATAAATCAGTTTTAGCTGGCTTTGGTTGGTTGGTTCTATGTTTGTTTGTTTTTCTTTAAACAAATTGTTGTTGCCCTGGAAGTCACCGCATTAAACACCGTGGCAGCAACCTGTGTTGTTACACTGTTGTTGCCGCTGCTGCTGCTGCTGTTTTGTTGTTTGCAATTTTGTTGTATGGTTGTATTGTTCCTTTACTCCAGCGGACAAGTTCTTCGATTTCAGTTACCTGGTTCCATCAAACAGTTCAGTCACTCCATGTTCTTGTGTTTTTGCTTTTCTGTTGTGGATGTCCAACCCGCAGATGGTTGAGAGAGCCCAAATGCTTGAACACAACAGATGCTCACAACAGATCAACCTCAAGTCCAAGACCTATGAAACATAACACAACCCTCCAAAACCAATAATTGGTTCGCTCAGCAAAGCTGCGAAATTGCTGGGGCCCCTGAGTTTCCACCTGCTCGAGGGCTTCTGGAGCTTTTCTCCGCCAGCGAGCTGCTTCGTCTCCTCGAGCAAACCTCGCGCTTGAGCTCGAAGCGTTCGAGCGCTTGGAGCTCTGCGCTGGCGGTGGTCACTGAGCTCCATGCTCGCCGCTGGAATAAGGTGGGGGAGACGCTGGGCAGAGCCACTGACATCTGCGAGAACTGTGGAGCACCTTGGACAACCTCGGAGTCGGTGTCAGGCGTGAGGTGTTTTCCGTTGAAACGAGGCCATGGCTTTGCAGCTCTTTCTTCAATGGCTTTGCCATGAGCTGGGAGCCAGCTTAATGTCTCCATTGGTGAACCTTGCGAGATGCCCTCAAAAATAGGAGCCCAAGGGTGTCAGGCTGGTGAGTCTTGGGTGTCTCTGGCGACTGACTTCGGGCGTTTGTTTGTTTTTTTCTTTAATATCTTTAATCCCTCAGGAGAGCATGGACCAAAACATGTATGACAAAATATACCAGTGATCATTTAGGGACTCCCCCAAATTGGCCTTCAGACCTCTCAAACCATGCCCTTTGAATTGTAACCTCACTCTTCAGAAGAGCTTGGCCTCTTGAGGCCTGGCAGCGAGGGTTAGATCTGCTGAAGACCCTCCAACAGCTGCGCCATCCAACAACTCATGCCGCCAAGTCAGCGAGAGCCTTGGTTGCTTATCCCTAGCGCTCCAACTACCTGCTGAAAAGGTGGTTGGGGTGGATTAAGGGGGTCTAACTACCTTCTGAGGAGGTGTTTGGAGCCGTAGGGTATGGTTGCTTACTTCGTGCTGGGAAGGTGGAGAGCCATGGAGCATGGCCACATCGCATGATCCCTCTCGTCGCTTGACCCGACTGCACGACTGCACCTCACGTCGGCCCGACTGCACGACTGCAATGCATCGGACATCAGTCTGGTTGAAAAAATTGAACATGCTGCTCGAGTTTCGCATCTTTTCAGTCAGACTTCGGTTGCATCATTTTCTGGCTTAACAAAAAAAACGTGCTACATGTTGCTCCTTCGACCTGTGTCGGATGCATCCTGGACCATCCTTTTGGGGTGTGGTTTGTTTGGATGAGCCCCAATTGCAGTGGTTTCAGAATAGAAGGGGGCCCCCGAGATGTCTTATAGATCGGCTCCATATATATATATATATTCCACTCGGGGGATTGCACCATCTACTCTCAATCCGCTATGCTTTGAGGTTGTGCTATATGACTTGTAACATCTGTAACAGTCAGTGCACAGAATTAAACAGTTACTATTCTTGAACAATAGGCCTGGAACCTAACCTAATCATAATCATCCACTAGTCACGGTCCCTGGGAGGTTAGACCCAACCTATACATGCATTGAGACGACTACCGTGTAGACGGCCACCATGCTTGGACGTTCCGAACGAGGCTGGCGCCTGGAAGAGTTCGCAGGGCCTGCAGGCAGACGTCCAAGGTTGGAGGCCAAGGGTCCTTCCCTACCGCAGGTGGGGATGAGGAGGATGAGCTTGGATGATGGCTGTATCTGGCTGTACAGGGAAGAAATGAAGCTATATATGTATATAGTTAATCAAGAGTCTATGTTTAAGTCTATAACATCAGTCATCATCCATCAGTTAACAGTAAGGCCATTGCAATCCATTCCAAGAAACTCATCATCCAATGATCCATTGCAGCCAACAGTAGGAAGTGACGGGATGTCGCTGTCGCCGCGGCCGAATGGCTTCAGGTGTTGAAGCAACGGCAGATGACTCGCCTTCGCCACACGGAGCCCAACGAGGCGGATCGGCTCATCTATCGGTGTCGAAGGAAGGAAGCTGAAAAATAATAATGTGAATGTGCTCAGCAGGAATGAATGGCCATATGTAAAGCCTATAGGCTTATATGAATGGCTTATGTCATAGGATCTCAGCAGCCATATGTAGCCATTCATCCATGTTGCACTCCCAAATCGGGTCGACTTCACCCCGGCTTCGGTCTCCGCGTTCTCCGCGATCCACGTGGCACGTGCGACCGGACCGAGGTCTCCGAGTCCGTGGAAGCGCTACAGCGATTTCACCTGGAGCCTCGCGACTACGTGTGGATTTTGGAGAAATACAGCAAGGCCATGTGTGTTCTTCTGTTTTTGTGTGTGTGTGTCCCACCCTGGACAAAGGGTTTTTCCACCACCTTCGTTCCACAAGCAGGGGGCCAGCGCATGACATCACGACGCTGGCCAACGAAGCTAGTGATGTCATGGGATGCGGTCAGAGACGTCTGACCGTGTACCTGCCAGGAAACTGTTGCTCACGCTGTCCACTCTTTCGGTTTGTTTCATGGTGTTTCATGTGATCCTTCCCCTTAAACAGGTTTCCCAACGCAGACTTGCAGCCGACTTGCCGCTTTGCCGGCGTGCGCTTTCCGCAGTCACGTAGGAAAACCTTTTGTTAAAACATCTACAATTGCGCTGACTTTCCACCTTACCGTTGAGCCATTCCTTTCTTCCAGAGATTGCATTAACTGAAAATCAAAGTTCGAAGTGTGTTAGATTTATATTTTTTGGCAGACTGATGGGTTGGGATTTAACAGGGATGTTTATGTCTTTTTACTTGAAGGCTAAGGAAGCGTCATGAGCTCGTGTACATTTCAGTATATCCACACCAACAATTTGAACCGAGCCCAAAACTATACAGCACATGATAGCACATGATAGCGAGAAGAAACGTGTCCAGCACAGTGAGGATGAGGAGCCAGCTGTTCCGGCAACGAATGGCTCCTCACCCCATTTGCCGTTCGAAGCTCGTCCGTTCGAAGTACAGACGTCCGGGATTTCCTTCACCTGTTTTCAGCGAGTATACATGCTGCATGTTTAGCATACAATGTATGTTTAAAGGGGATGAGTATGAGTATGTCTGAGCGTCCAGATGACTTCAGATTCCTGAACCCAAACTCAGTGAGGATTTTGATGTGTTTGGTTCGTTTCAGATGCATGTGGGCGTACATGGAATCGTATATAATTTGGTCAAAGCTTGAGCTATCGATGCCCTTGCACAAAAAGACCAACCGGCTGCACTAA